CCACCCCGGGAAAACAGGGTGATCGTCTCCACTCCATGACTTGAGGCTAAGGAAAGGTCAGAGCAGGGTCTTTGATTGGTGCTCATGCCCTGACCGCAGCAGCCAATGGAGTGTGCTGACGCTTATCAGAGGAGCGGAGCCCCGCCTCTAGTGCACGGTAACTGGCTGGGCTGCCAGTGCCAGCGAAGCATCAGATTTGGTTCCCAGCATGGATGAGCCTGTCGAAATCCCTGTGACGAGAACTCAGGCACGGCCTGCCACCCAAAACGGTCTCTGCTGCCGCACGGCCTCGTGTGCAGGGTCGGGGGAGGGCCAGCAGAGCGAGAAGAGGGCGGGGCGGGTGGCCTGTCGCTGACTTCTCCCCCCCCCCCAGCAGACATTCTGGGGAGAACGGATTAAAAACACACCACCATCGACAAAGACCCGCTTTGTACCTGCCTCCCCGCACGGCCCCAGAGGGCTCTGTGGCCAGCCCATGCTCCGCACAGCACATGTGGCCGACCGGCCGGCCTCAGCGTCCCTCAGCTCCTTCTGGACAAGTGCCTCTGAGAGGGGCCTCAGTGCCCTTTGCAAGGCGGCCGCTGTGGGCCGGAGCGGGTCGCCCCTTCCACGTGGCTCCCACCTGTTGTGGCTCCCACCTGCTCTCAGACCTGTTGTGGCTCCCACCTGCCACCACCCCCGGGGGCTACCTGCCACTGGCTTCCCTCCGGCCACTCTGAGCCAGGAGCCTGGTCTCCAGAGCCTCACGGTGCCTGGCAAGCACAGCCAGAGGCCCCTGCTGAAGAGAGGAGGCGGCCAAGAGGCTCTCCCCCACGGGGCCTCCTCCAGTGACCAAGGAGGACGGGGGGCGGGGGGGGCAGAGGCAGGTCACCCTAACCCTGACAGCAGCACCCTGGCTGTTCTCCCCATCTCAACGGATGCCTGTCTGGAGAACTCTGGAGCGCTGCCCTCAAGGACTCCCTCCCTCTTGGGGACACACCACTGGCCTCCTCAGCAGCCGGGGTCTTGGGCATTCCT